GAGAAATTATCCCTCAGAGGGATAATTATGCCTCAGTTCCTTCTCCTCCATTCTCCTCTTGGGATCCTGGGATGCATGCACATGTGCCTGGTGTGTTTTTCAGGCCCCCGGGTCCGAGACTAGAACTGCGACAATAGAGTCGGCAATGTGAGATCCAGCACTTTAACCACCATGCCACCTGCTGTCTCTCCAGATTTTTTCTTTTTATTTTAAGTAATTTCCTTAACTTAAAATGACCTATAATGAACTAATTTTCATTTGATATATTCTAAGAGAATATGAGAAATTTACTTGGCATGTTCTTGTGTTTAAGTCAAAATATAAGATTTAAGAGTCCTTTGACCATACTGGGATGCAAGAAAAGTAGATGTGCTACTACTTATAAGAAGAGGTTACATTTCTGCTTCATTACTTTTTGTTTTATTTCTTTGTTAGTGATTTCCTCACCATCCTATCCATACCACTCTGCTTCTATTCATGCTGCTGCCACCCCTCTACAACCACCACCACCACCACCACTACCACCTCCTCCTCCTCCCCCGACTCCTCTTGAGGTAGGAGAGGTTTCAAGTTTACCACCACCGCCTCCACCTTATTCCTGTGATCCAAGTGGCAGTGATCTACCTCAGGGTAAGTAGACTTGGGTGAGAATTATTTAGGTACAAGATATCTCACTTTGCACATATTTCACTTCAGTTGACCTGTCTTGAGGGAGTGGGGTTACCAAATAAAAACTGTTTTGAGAGCATAATTCTAGGTAAGTGGCTAAGGAAAGGTGCAGTTGAAAGTCTTCAAGCTGAAAATACAATCAACTGGCTAAGTTGACTCATGCTGCTTTTTAGGAAGGGAGGGATAGCTACATATGTGACCTGAAGAAGATTCTTGAATGGATGTCATTGCTTTCATTGACTGTTTTTTTTCCCCCAATGAGGCATTGTATTTGTATGTATGTATTACACCCCATTTCTAATGTAAAGAATCCCAGGATTTTCCCTCCTGTATGTTTCTGTCTTGCTTCTTCACGATCCATGATGCCAGGTGAAGTCAGTACAATGAAACCAAACTGACGGAATGGGAGCAAGTTATTCTGCTATTTTTCTAGATCTTTTGAATTGCACCTCAAATCTGGGGCTGGTCACGCCAAACTTGTTTAACCTGCCAGTGAGGTTCACAAAAATTTTTCCAGCTCTGTGGTCATCGACAATTTCAAATTTGCCAGTGTAATCATGCTTCATCATCGTAGTTAGAAACCAGACAATGACTTTTGTGCATGACATAATAAGAGCTTGGTGTTTGCCTCCCTTTTCACCATTGTTGATGCTCTTGAGAGCATCAGCTGGGACTTACATGTCCACCATTATGGTGGCACAGAAAGATGGCAGAAAGAGGTGACTGTTTTTCTTGGAAAGCAGGAATCCTACCAGTTTTTTCCCCATTGTTGGCAATCGCAGGGCCGGCAGGTGGCAGGATGGTTAAGAGCTCTGGACTCCCGTATGGCTGACCACCATTAGAGTCTCGGATCTGGTGGTTTGCTTTTCTCACTTTCCCACCCTCTCTCTCACTCTGTCCCTCTCTGGTCAAATTAAATAATAAAATAAATAAAGTTAAATAAAATAATTCTTTAAAAAAATTGTTGCAATCTCTGGTATTCAGCGGAGTTTTAAAAATGTGGAGAAGGTCTCTGGGGAAGAAGGGCATCTGACCTGCATGGATTTTAGCCCTATGCTCTTGTTTCCTTAAACATCTAAAGGGTAGGTTTCTATTGAAAGTTCTTTGCTATTCTTCAGTTTGGCAGTGTTTTTCAAAAGAAAATTGTATTTGAGAATCACTTGTGGCTTACTTAGACTTTCTTTGCTATAGCAGTTATATGTTTCTTTTGTTTTTTTTTTTTTTTTTTTTTTTTAGCTGCTTTTCTCTTCCCTTTTTTTCCCCAGCCCCTAAGCTAGTCATCAAAATTCCATTAAACAATTTTGTCCTTTTTTCCTACCTTAAAACCTCATTATTATTTCTATGTAATTACTTCTTAAATCTAGCCAGCTTTGGCCTCAAACGTTTCCCTTATTTCCAGCTATTTGTTGTCATATAGCTTTTTAACTTTTATTTCAAACTTAAAACATCTATATTGGGGCCATCCAGGTGGCACGGTAGTTAAGGCAGCTCTATCCACATGGCCGACTGTGTGGTTTAAGTTCTGGACCCGGATGCTTGAAAAACATCCCGGGTGTATGTGTCTGCATGCTCAAAATCCTGAGAGGACGTGGAGGAGAAGGAATTGTGATGTGACTTTCTCCCTGGGGTCGTGATTTTTCACTTTTCCTCTTTCTGTCTTTGGTGAGTGCCCTATGACAAAAACCTAACAACAGCAACAAAAAGTGATAATCATTTCCACCTAATTTACCCAATATCTAAACCCTGATTACGTTACTACTCTATCTGTGCCCAAGATGTACTTTTTTCACCAAATAATGCTGATTGTGCATTTTTACAATATTTTATTACAAAAATACTCAGGTATATACTAAAATTGAAATCTAAAATAAATAGTCGTATGTCTACCACCTGAATTTTACTATTAACATTTAACTCTATTTCCTTTATCACATCTGTCCATTTATCCCTCTGTCTGCTGATTAATTAATCCATCTTATTTGTAATGTGTTTAAAGATAAATTGTAGACATTAATATACTTCCCCTTAAAACCTTCAGCATACATACAATTAATTAGACTTTAATCTCTTCTTTTGATGTAAAGTTTACATATGATGAAATGCACACAACTTAATACTAGTTGAGTTTTAAGAAATGCACGCATGTACCCATGTAACCCAAACCACCCTCAAGATATAAAATATTATTAGCATTATCACACAAAGTTCCCTCTACTCCGTCTTTTCTTATGCCCATCCCCACTTCCTTCCACAGGCAACTATCATTTTGATTTTTTTCTACCATAGATTAGTTATACTTGTTTTAGAATTTCTTTTTTTGTTTGTTTTTTTTGCACACCCATGTTTATTTTTGTTTTGTTTTAGAATTTCAATTTCATGTAAATATAATAATCCATTATGTGATTTTTCTTTTAAGTTTTTACACTATAGGGCATGTGTGCTCACCAGAGAAGGAGTGAGAAATTACCCCCCCCCAGAGAGGGTGGCCATCTCTCGGTCCCTTCTCATTTTTCCTCTCTGGATTTTGGGAACTCATGTGCATATCCCACATATTTTCTTTCTTTCTTTTTTTTTTTTTTTGGAGAGGTTTTTCGCTATAGGGCGTGTGCACTCGCCAGACAGAGAGAGACAGAGAGACAGAAAGCGAGAAATCACCCCCCAGGGGGAATGGTCACGCTGCAATCCCTTCTCCATTCTCCTCTCGGGATCTTGGGCATGTACGCACACGTGCCCGGCGTGAGTTTAAGCCACCGGGTCTGGGACGCGAACCGCGGTCGACTATTTGGGAGTCCAGCGACGTAGCCATTATGCCAACTGCTGGTTCCCATCCAGCATATTTTCTTAAGCCACTGGATTCAGGACTTGAATCATTAAGTTGGCCATGTGGAATCTGGTCTCCTGAACTACTGTGCTGCTGGGTGACCCTCATTATATAATCTTTATAGAAGACTTGCTTCTTAAACTCAGCATGTTTTTTAGGTTGTGTGTGTGTGTGTGTATGATTTTTTTAAAAAATGTTTTGCTGTAGTGTACATGTGCTCACAGGAGAGACAGAGATGGGAAATGGCCATGCTGATAGCCCTTTTCCACCATTTTCCTCTCAGGATTTTGGGCATGTACACAGACATAATACCAACACCCATCATGTTTTTCAAGCCCATGGGTCTGGGACTTGAATCCCACAGTCAGCCATGCAGGATCCACCTGTCTTGACCACCATGCTACCAGGTGACCCACTCAGCATAATGTTTTTGAGATTCATCCATATCTTTACATATATCAGTTCATTTGCTTTCATTGCTGAGTAGTATTTCATTAAATGAATGTTCCAGTTTGTTCATTCTCTTGACAAGAAATCTGACCTCTTTCTGGTTTGAAATTTCTATAAATAAAATAAATAAAGCTGCTATGAACATTCATATAGAAAAGTCTTTGTAAACATATGTTTTCATTTTCTTTGGACATATACCTAGTAGTATATTTACTTTTATAAGAAACAGCAGAATATCTTTCCAAAATTTTACCATTTTACATTCCTACCAGCAGTATGTGAGAATTCTAGTTGTTTCCCATTCTTGTCAACATGAAATATTGTCACTCTCTTCAGTATTAGCCATTCTGGTAACTGATAATGAGCACTAAAAAAACCCACTTTTTTATAGAGGAGTTTTTTGTTCACAGAAAAATTGAGAGGAAAGTAGAGAGATTTCCCATATACCAACTCCTCTACATGTGCAAAGCCTCCTATATTATTAGTATCCCTCATCAGACCAGAGTGGTACATTTGCTACAGTTGATGAACCTACATTGACACATCATCAGCACCTGAAGGCTATAGTTTACATTAGAGTTTATTTTTATATATATATATATACAGAAATTTTTTGCTATAGGGCACATATACTCACCACAGAGACAGACAGACAGGAAACAAAAAAATCACCCCCCCCCCAGGGGGTTGTTCATGTTGCTATCCCTTCTCCATTTTCCTCTCAGGATTTTGGGCATGCACACACATGTGCCTGGTGTGAGTTTCCAGCCACTGGGTCCAGGACTTGAACTGCGATTGACCATGAGGGAGTCTAGTGATATAACTCATACTCCATCTTCTGATCCCTAGAGTTTATTCTTTTTGTACATTTCACGGGTTTGGACAAATGTATAATTACATGACACAGAGTATTTTCACTGACCTAAGTCTTCTGTACTCTGCTTATTCATCCCCATTCCAGTTCCTGGCAATCATCATCTCCATAGTTTTGACTATTCCAGAATGCCATAGAGTTGTAATCCTATAGCACCTACCTAGCCTTTTCACATTGACTTAGCAATATGTACGCTTTTAAGGTCCCTCCATGTTTTTTTAACTTAATTTTATTCATCATCATCATTTTTAATTTCACCAAAGGGAGACAGAGAGAGGGAAAGTGAGAAAGCAAGTTGCCAGGTCCAAGACTCAAACCATGGTCAGTCATGTTTGAGTTCAGTGTCTTAACTACCATGCCACCTGCCAGGCTCCCTCCCTGCTATGTCTTTTTATGGCATGATAGCTCATTTATTTTGAGCACTGAAAAATAATCCAATGACTAGATATACCATGATTTATCCATTCATTCACCTATTGAAGGACATCTTGGTTGCTTCTATGTTTAGGCATTTATGAATTAACCTGCTTTAACCATCTGTGTGACAATACATTTTCAACTCCTTCAGGTAAATATCAAGGATAACTATTGCTGGATTGAATAGTAAAAATGTTTAGTTTTGTAAGAAACTCAAACTATTGGGACCAGCAGATGGCATAATAATTATGTTGCTGGACTCCTACATGTTCAACCACAGTTTAAGTCCTGGATACAGTGACTTAAACTCATGCTGGGTGTGTGTGTGTGTGCATGCCCAAGATCTGGAGAGAGAGGAGGAGAAGGGACTGCAGTGTGGCCATCCCCCTGGGCTGATTT